AAATAACATATAATAACGATTCTCCTTAAAGAAATAATGTTTTTAAATACGAATCCTTTAATAAGGAACAGGTAAAGGTAAAGAGACAACGTTTCGGTTGTGGAGCCTTCTTTCAGCATAGAATAAACCTTTTCCTGTTCCTTTGGAGCCTACGCATGCTGACGCAGCTACCTACTAGAACGTTTTAATAAAATTACTTAAGACAAATTTTAACCGGAACCTGTGCCTCTCACCACGGCCTTAATGGTGTCTCAAGATAACTTAACAATTAATGTTCCTATGGTTTGATGAAATCGAAAATACGAAATACCATATCCGTACATTATGTAATGCATATATAATACCACTAGGTGTCAGTGAAGAATTACCTATAGATGATCAATTCTTGTGCGTATCATGGTTAGGCGGATTAAGTGTTTATGGTGAAACATAAAACCAATTGCAGTAATAACTTGGTGGTTGTTTTTAATTGTGTAAATTGACAGGATTAGAATAATCGATTACGCTAAGAAACTGAGCAGATATGAATGAAAGACGGGACATTTTTTTTCACTATAAAGCTTATTTGTATGTTCACCACGTACTGTATTTTGGTTGCTGCTAAAAGCAACGAAGCACACGTATACAATTGAGTTATTTTGTGTATTATTTACAAAGCGCGCGAGACTTTGAAACAACATGGACTTTGGATTATGATCAGTGTGGAGCAGAGCAATATAGAGTTGGCAGGATTACAATTCCAGACAACTCTAAAACCAGTTTTCAAAGCTGTTTACACGCCGTGCTTCTGAAAAACGTCATAGTAGCACAATCTAGAAATTCACTTAAAGGTACTAACTGTACACATGCACATACAATTAACGTATCCAGTAAAATGTTTTTAACAGGGGCCTTCAGTCTTTTACTTCGTGGGTTTGTGCATTTATTATGTTCTTGATAAGTAGTCGTAATACACGGGTGTAGTAATATATGTTTCTCAGTTTACTGTACATCAAAGAAGCAAATTGGTGTTTGTATGTAGAAACGAAAGGGATTTATGTTTCTTGAACGAAACTGATCCATTGGAAACTAATTTCCAATGGAGGCATTAATCATATTTATTGGATATGATAGGGTGAACCTTCATATTAACATTTCTTATGTTGACCTTTATGTAAGCGATAAACAGCTGTGAAATATTACGCACACCTACAAGCACCTATGTTTCTTAACTTTTAAAATTATTATTAGAATATGAAAGGGAGATACTATTTTAGAATCACAAAATAATGAAGGTCCAATGCGCCGGCCGGTATGTTTTAGCGTTTAGGGATGTCTAAATATATTTGTAAAGTTTTGGGGGATTTTACGAGAAATATCAAACACACTTAATTGCTAATCATTACATATTTAGTATATAACGACTTCGTAAACAGAATACAGATTTACGGTATATTATTTAGTCATTGAAGCATCTGTTATTCATTTTAAGTACACAGATGTGACTTACAAAGTAGAAGCTTATTAAACCATTAACTTGGATTTGTCACAGTCTCTTGATAGACAAAGGGACTGCTGTGTAAAATTAATTTATTACGACTACGGCATTTTTTTTCTTTTTTCAGAATGAAAAAAAGTTTCCAAAATGGGGGTGGAGGCTTCTGCATTCTATTTATAATTGGCTAAGAAAAATTTTGCAACTGCTGTAAAGGTCAATGAAGGAGTTGGCTGGAAAATAATCTGAAGATTTCACACATGCGCAGTTGTAGGATGCCATATTGGAATGAGGCTGTAGCTGGGTAGCTGAAAAAGAGACACCGCTCGCCTTCTTCAACTGATCAAAGGGGGGTTGCAAATTTAGACGCTGAAAAAAAACTTCATCCAGGTAAGGCAGGTGGACAGTCGTTATTTCTTTAGGTAGTCAGGTATCTTCTCTTACCGAACTCGTCGTTTTCTCCGTGATTCCAACCCTCAGAGAGCTTTTTCCTGGTTAAAATATTAAGCTGATCTGAAGCTGTTTTCTAAAAGCAGAAATACTGTAACAAGAAGCAAGTTGTACAAAGTGTTTTCCTATGTATATTTATTGCTTTCGCGCATGAAGAATATTTTTTCTGAACGTTGAATTTAACTTTCTTTTTGATCGATTCTGACATTTGTTTAAGTCGACAATTTAAATAGTTTAACTACAGATGCAAAGTCAATTAATTATATCAATTTTGTAATAAAATGTACGCACCTTTCATCTTTAAAAAACTAACAAATATCCTGTTATTTCCCTCTCTTTCGTTCCTAAGCCCATGTGACCTTCTTTCGATTTCTGTACACTAATCTATATTTGCAGTACCGTAGTTTATTGTAATAGAGTTTACTTCAGTGGAATTCTATTTTAGAGATCATATTCGCATTACATACTTCAGGTCTGAAATGTGTTTTCTCCCTAGTTGCAGAAAGGAAGCAGATAATATTGGGAATCTGTCAGGTCTGTTTCAACATGGCGGGTTAAGGGTTTAAAAGCTGAAAATAAATTCTTTGAAAAGGGAAAAAATAAAACTAGGAGAGTTACCTGTTTGATTCAAGTTTCTTTTGTTGAACCTTAAAATACTCTATTGAATTAAATGTAAAATGAGCGTGTTTAGGTATTCATCGAGTTTTTTTCCTCAGCAACACTTTTCAAGCGAGTAAAGTACATTGGACGATTACCGAAACGCATACTGTATCTACTTTGAAAATATGTAATTTCTATGAAAGAAAGGTGGTTGCCATGGTGAAACGCTCCAGTACATCAAATGTCTTTCAGGCTTTGCATTTTTCAGCAAAAAGTTTAGAATGGAAAACATCGACCACCGAATTGTAAAGGTTGTAGCATCCTTTAGTTCCAGGGGATGTGCTTATCTGACGGATTTCGTGCGATTTAGACCCAAATCTTGGTATAAATGGCAAAAATACTATGGATTATATATATAGGTATTTGGACAGTAGTATAAGGTTACGTGTAATAAAATTATTATGTTCATTGCACTGGCAAACTCTTGGTGGTTTTTGAATACGTATATATATATGTGCGGTGTAAATAGCACTAAAACACCTGCGCATGAACTCTTTAGGAATTTTACTTCGGATTAAAATATCCATAAGGGATATGTTTGAAAGTCCTTTTCGTGTTGCAGCGGCAACATGCCTGCCTAAGTTATAGATCCCGACTGAAATTATCAGTTTGTAGTCTTCTATGACACTTTTACATTTTATTAGATACGTAGAGGAAAAAGAGCTGGACACGACTGTCCAAAGATGAGTATTGCGGTGCTGAGAAGCTATACGATATCATTGCTTTTCCGAGGCAGGCGATTTAAAACAGCATGTTAGACACGCAGACCTGCAAAAATACGATTACAGGCGACGTGTGTTGCTCGTGTGTAATTAACTGTGTGTGTGTGCGTGTTATGTGGTTATACAGCCAGCTGTAAAAGGTTATTGGTTGGTTTTGTTTTACGTGTGCTTTTTTGTTCGCTGCCTTCTTGTCCTTGTTAGAAATATAAACTTTCTATTTGGAGGACAAGGGCTCGTATTAACTTCTGAATGAGGAAGTGAAAAACATTGTCTTCTGTGTGGATGATTTTGATAAGTGAGTGTGCGAGTCCGTGACTCTATGTTCGGTTAGGAGGGGGCTACCCCGCAGTGATGCTCTCTGTCTATATATATGGGTGATGTCGATGTTCTTGTCTTGAGTCACTTTCAAAAGCAGGATGTGATGGATTTAACAGTTTTAAGCGCCTTTGCCGTTCACGATCAAGGAGAATATCTTATTAACTAAATGCACCTCACGGGAACTGTACAGCTGTTAACCAATGTTACGTTTTTTTTAAGAAAGACAAATGGCTGATAAAGACTTTGTTTTTACTACCGTCAGCTTCTGACTTCAGATACAGCCTTAAGGCTTCGTTTTACCTGTATGGAGTGGATGGCGTTTTATCCGAGAAAAAGACTTTTCATCTGTTAACTTGGAATTTCGACTTCTCTTTTCCATTTATATAATTTCATTGAGGGCTGGCTTTTAAAATTGACTGGAAATAAACGGCTGTTATTTATTTTATTCTAGTAGGGTTATTGTTTTGGTATCACGTGGGCAACAATGACTTCATGAAAGCGACAACTTCGTATTTTTGTCTATGTGCTTTCGTTGTTTTAACATTAACATGTTCGTCTATTGCTGTTTAAAGGTAGCAAACGTAAATAAGACCCTTAAGAATGAACATCCTGTTAGTTAACAAACGTCCTTGTTTTGTTTCCTTAGAATGAACAATCTCGTTCTTTATGTAGCCTGTATCTATATATCCCAAGTTTCCATATTTTTTAAGTTTTTACTTTGATTTCAAATCTGGAATATATACTTCAGTGCTTTACACGGGGAATATAGCATGTGTAGTATTTTAATCATGTCCACATATGATGAAATTACTAAATATTTTATGTTTTTGGTATCACAGAACAGGAGCTTCAAGGCGCTTTAAATATTTTAACGTACCATTCAATGAGAGGGGTTTCTTGGTTTGTTTTTATGTTTTCGAGTGTCGGATTTGGAATGTTAAATCATCACCGTTTTAAAATACCATTTACGGGTATTTAAAAATACAACAACTTAAATGTATAGGTTTTCCTGGTGCATTCTCAAAAGAGACTGGCTAAAATGCAAAATGAGCCCTGGGCAGTTTAGCCACCTCAGAAAAAAGTAGGCCTATTGTATGCTATATGTATGCTGGAGGTAGTTTACAGTAGTGCACCCTGCAGGCGCAGCTCTGCAAGGCATTGCTGAATTGATTTTGAATATTGGGAATAAACGCGAATGACAGACGAGTTTAGTTCATTCTCAGATCCAGCTTTTTCCTGAAGCTTTATTTCTTTAAAAGGCGGCTTATTTTTCAGTCATATCCAATTTTAGAATAAACGTCAAAGTACCATACTAACGCTGTACCAAGGTGTTAGAGCATTTATTAAAAAAATAAGTTATTTGTATTTAAATTTTTTAATTACAGTTTTGGCAAGCTTTCATGATTTTATACATTAGCGATTGCCGAGTATATATATATATTAACAGTCTCTCTTAACAACTACTTACCATGAACTGGTATGCTTAAAATATGCTTAGACCTGCTGTTTGACAAGAGGAAAACGCTCATTAATTATCTGGTTAATGTATGCAAAGTTTCCCACACGAGTAATTAAACAGTTATTCATTCCACATGATAAACCCTTGGAGAATTGACAAATAATGTTGTTGTTTTTTGACCCGATAGTGGAGATGCAGGTTAGGTCCGCTTTTTAATTGTAAAACAAGAGTCCAGGACCGCATTGCTTTCTGACGTCACATCAGCGGGGTCCGTACAACCCAACAATGCTGTGAGACGCCAGGCACGAGTACGTTGTTTGCTTTTTGTCAACATTCACGTGGTTGGCAACGTGACTTTCTGTCGTAGGCAATAACGAAACTTATGACTCATGAGAAGTAGTTCATACACTAGCCTTTGCTACCCTGTCCCAGTTGTTCTGCGCCCTTTTGCAGTTTCCCCATTGTTTGCAGTGACCGTTCAGTGCATTGATTTTACTTCCTACGATGTGTCTTCCATTACCACAGTGGTGTATTTTGCTCTGACATTAAAAAAGTATTTAATTTCGACTATGTGCAGTATAACGCACAGAGGTAAAAGGTATTTCCGACGCAATGCAACAGAATGAGGGTACACAGTACTGTAACTGGGCATACGATTTTTTTAAACATAATTTCACATTTTCTGTGTAGCTAATTTTGTAGCCTCCAGAAAAAAAAAACAATGATACTTAGAATTGAGTACAGACCAGTGCACCTTCAATGACAACGGCGAGTGCGATAGAAATCATCGCGCCAATCGCGAAGTGTTGGCGGCCGCTCCTCGCTGCCCAGTTACTGTACCGGTTTTGCGGTCCGAGGTTGGCCGCAAGTGGCCGAAGGTTTTTAATTAATCCGCAAATGGCTAAAATAGCGAGCATTTCAGTCCGTTGTGAGAATTATTAAATACCTCCTGCGACAGGAAAACGGTTCAAATTTCTGTTGGAAAGCCGGGACTGGACGGTGAGTGCGTAGCGGCCGCCCTGGAGGACGTCTATCCGTAGGCCAGTGCTTCCGAAAACGGGTGTAGATGCGCTTTGCGGGAAGCGAATCGTAAACCGTCGCCAGGCGGTGGGTCTCGTAGAAGCCCCGCAAGGTCTTTTTTGTAGAAGATGTCGTCACTTTATGGAAATAGATTTTTTTGGCCTTAATTTTTTTTCTTTAAAGCTACGGATAAATTATGTAATTGTCCAATTAACGTTTTAGTTGATCTTAGCTCTGCAGTAATACAATGTTATATGTAATTTAGTTCACGATTTTATTAAGCTGTTAACAAGGGGAACTAAAACCAAGATGAACAATTACAAGTTATAAACCCCTTAAATTACCGTCTCTAGACCCCCCTTCCCCCCTCACACCATATATCATAGATCCCAAGAAATTTGGTCAAAGAGAATATGAGTACGGTTAATTTAAACGACCGTACTAGTGTTTATACGGTCAGTTTTAGATTATAAACGCAATGTATACGTATCATGAGTACACAAACCCGAATGGTTGAATAAATAAGCTTCATTTATGTTTTTAGGTGAAAAACATCCGCACATTAAAACAAAGGCCGTCAGAAACTGCACTCTTGCAAAATGTCTTAAAAACTACAAATAAACACGGAAGTCAAGTAGTCAGGTTACGAATACATAGTTAAACTTCCTAAACGACGTTTTAGTTGTCTATTTAATCACATCTTTTATGGCTCAAATTATTATAATTAAACTGTAGTGCACTGATAATTGAGAATAAAGATGATTTTTTTGTCTAAAAATACATTATAATTCATCAGATTTGAATTTCCATTAAAAATGGACCATAGCATGAACTAATGATTTCAACCGAGGTTCAGCCTCAGGAGATTCTATTTTTAAATTAATATTGTCATTGATAATTCAGATATGTGAACTTCTTTCGACAATAGAAAAAAGTTAGTGATTTTATTATGCTTTAGGCAAGTTTTGTTATACATACAGTAAAAAGAAAAATTGGCAAGCCTTTCTATTAAAAAAATTGTATGGAATTAACAATTTTTATGGAAACTACATCCCTATCTATAAGTATGTATTTCTTACCGGACCAATGTATAGTTTAATGTTTATGAGATGAGTACCATTTTAACAATTCCTGAATATTTTTTAATTTTATATTTTGTAGAAAAATTAGCTTAATATTAGCATGAGTGTTGAGATACTTGACATTGATGCAGTGCATTACAGAGGTGACAGGAACACAGACAATCATTGCAACATAACAGACTAAGAAAGTTAAGATCGGGTCACCTACATTACTGGGGCTAGAGTTTATAAAAGTGGTGAATGAAAGGGACAATGAAAAGCAAAGTGTTGTTATTTCTTACAAGATCATGATCATAAATTAGATTAAGTATTAGCTTAGGTCTATAAATGAAAAAGATTTGGGGAAAATGCAGAACTAGATCTTCAGCTATTAATATGGGCTGATGTATGAATAAAGTGTTAGGTCTAGATCAGTGCTTTGGAGCTTTGGTGTTTTTGTGTCTGAATGGCTAGATTACTTTAAAACCCATATAGTTTCCTTTGTTGATTTCCACTTTCTTTAGTTTTTCTTTTATTTCTGCTGAAGTCTCCTGTCTTCTATGGCTTGGGCTGATGGCATCAACCTGATTAGTTGGTGGTGTGTCAATAATTCCCTCTTGGCTCGTCTGTTTTCTAGCTGTTCTATAATCTGAGTAATGAATACGATACTTAGCTTTTAACATTGTAGAGTTTAAAATGTGATTGATGAACTTGAACAGGCACCTTAATTAATGCAGTAGCCCTGCAGTTGCCAGGGTGATGCTGGCCTTTATTTAGAATTCCTGTTCCAAAGCTGACGTCATTATAGACAATAAAAAATAAACACATATCTATAATTATTTTGTGAATTATAACTTTTAAGTACAAACTTCTTCCAGCTCTGCAAACTTAGTAGAATTCGCAATTGTAATATAATCAAATACTATACATCCTACAGTATGATCAGTGTTTTTACTTCAAAGGGTAAGTTGACAGCTCATCACAGCCCATAAAACATATTGTAAAAATCTTTCATTTGAGTCAAAACCTTAGACTGTTTAGTAATTAAGAATCATTTGGAAGAAGAATCCATAATTCATTTCCAAGTACCTCAACAAATTAATTATTGTTCTAGCTAGAAAACTTTCTATGTCTCCACCTGTTCGTTTTGGCAGTACTGTCATGTATGAATGTCTGCCTGTGAACAGGTTGTACAGTACAGGATATACAGTATGCAAAGAGCAAAATATAAATTTTTGATTCAGTAGTTCAAATAGAATTAATAAATTATCTATGTTTTGCTTTAATGCATTTAGTTCATAATGAAAAAGAAATGGGATTTTGGAATTTTTGAAAAAGAGCAAACCTAGAATAAGAAATACTACACTAATTCCATATGCCAATGCAAAAATTGTGACATAACACATATTAGCTTTCAACTTCTATTTGTGTTACAGCGGTACTCAATTTGTATCAGCTGCCTTTTTAATTGTTAGCGCACTTTTGTGTAAGACATGAAAAGCATCTTTCCCTTTCATAATCTCTTTATTAAGTGAAATTGTTTGCGTTTTAAAACAACCTCAAGACTGTCTTTGTGTAACACAGCTGCTGAAGAAGCTGTGATGAGTATGCACTCTGTAAAGCTGAGTGATTGATTTGTTCTTTTATTTATGAGAGAATGCTAAGAAGTTCAATCACAGTTATACAATTTTAAAATATTGCCTTAAATTGCATGCATTATTCCACTTGTGGGGCTTTCCATGAAGTTGGAAGTGGGTGTAATGGTGATGGGTTTTGATGTCTTAGGAAAGCAAATCGCAGCCTTTCTGCACATGACCTGGAATACAAAATTAGAATCTGGGTGTGTGACAAAATAAAATACCGTTCATTATACATCTGAGAGGTGTTTTTCATTGTATTTTATCTAGGTTTCTGTACTTTGTTATTTTTTAACTGGTGGTTGCCAAATACTTTTAAGCCAAATGAAGCAGATGAGCTGAATGACCTCCTCACATTTGGAAGCTGTAGCAATATGATTATGAATGGGAAAGTGTGGGTTAAACCCAAAACATGCAAACTGTACTTTGCATACACATATACAAATGATCCTTTTCATTCATATCTATCTACCCATGACAAAAAAAGTGTTTGTGTTTTTGAGCTCTGTTTAAGCAGAGATTGAAAGCAATATACAGTATGTCTAAAATAAGGCCATGATTGCATTACAATGACTGTCAGTTAATTATACGTTTGCTCTTATGGCTAACCTTTGAATCAGTTTGTAATTCCTGTGATTGTTACAGTGAATAAGCAGAAAGTGTATTACCTTTTAAGGCTGCTTAAAATATTTAAGTTTTTAAATAGTAAAAAACGTATCTTATACAGGTGTGAGATATACAGTTTTCTCATCTCCTTGTTGTAGTGCTAAAAGAAAATTTAGGATTTTGAGTTACAGTTTGCAAGTCAACACCAAAACATTTCCAAGTCCAGGTTACTGCATCTAACTTTGACTGGATGTTTTCAAGATTTATGTACATATTATGTAAGGTCAAGTTTGTAATGCAATATTTTTAAAGCAGAAAGGCTCAATGTACTTGCCTTTTGAAAACAAGGGCTAAAGCGTTTTAATGTTTGCCAGAATAAATGGCTAAAATGAAATTTAGGTTTTTCAGAAACAGTTTTAAATGTTATTCTGGAAAACACTGTGAAAAGGTTTTTGAACTGAAATGAAAGCACAAGTTATAGGGCCTCCCAAGTGGTCCAACTGGTCAGGGAACTAGCCTGTGGACAGGCTGAGCTCTGTGATCACTGGGTTTGAGCCTGCGTCATGTCACTAACCAGATGTGATCGTGGTTCCCCAAGAGCATAAGGTTGGCAGGGCTTTTCTCGCCTCTTAGAGATGGAGCGACCCCTGTAACCTCTCGGGCGCTTGCAGGCAGGTGCTTGAGGGACTTGACACTCCACCGGTGGGCGCTGAACCTCCAATAAGGAGCTGTGTTGCTTGTGACATGTTAAAAGGGTTGTAGAAATCCACACCTTCTCATTTTCCCCGTGTTGCGGTTGTGGCCAGTTCTAACTGTGAGCCAAGACATGAAAAACACACTATTCCACACGGAGTTGCTATGACAATCAAGTATTCCAAGTTAATAAAAAAAGCACTCTACAGCACTGCATTTACTAACTTTAAAAAATGATGCAATTTCCCTTGGTGCATAAATTGAAAATGACAGAACACAAAATTCTATTACATTATTATAGAGTGCTTCTAGAATATGTCCCACCTGTTGCTCCACGTTGATAACGTGTGAAATGCCTTCTTTTAGGTAAGAAGAAAGAAAATCATGAACTGAAAGAAGAAATCTGGACTCACGTCAGGTATTTTGATCACTGCCTGCAAAGAGCAGGATGTCTTTTGCTGCGAACATGCAGAAGATCACAGTGCCAATACAGGAAAAGGCACAGGGTTCAACTGGTGGAAATGGACAGCAGATAGAATCAGGTGGGAGCTCTCTTTCTTGAATATTGTTTTCCTTTTGTTATTTTCATGTCACTGTGAGGCACATACTGTATGACATCAAAATGCAGTCACAGACAAATTAATGTGGCAGCAAAAAACAATGATGATAAAAAATGAGTTTTCTTGTTTTCATTTTTCTCTATTGGTATAAGCTAATTGGTATAAGGTATAAGCTAAACATTCCTTTTTAGTATAAAATCCAGAACGTCACTGAATGATGAGAAATATACTGATTAGGCTACTATAACTGTAGCCTGTAATACTATCATGTGAACTGCCTAGTAATTCTGCTTCATATTTATTTAGTCAAAACAAGCAACCACAAAGAGTTATTTTGCCATTCCTTGAGCTGGTATAGATGATGTGCTTTGACTGGTGATGTGTGCTTAAGGTCATTATGTGAACCAGTACTTAGAGATAGGCTATCTAAGAAAGCAATAAAGTTGCTAAAAGTTATTGAAAATAAGCTACTTAAATTTCTTTTGTTGTTTCACCACTATAGAGACACTATTGTTTAAACAGACTTTTAATTTTGGTTTATGTATTTTTAGTCAAAGCATATAGTCACAGACAGCTGCTTTGCCTTTATTGAAGTCGTGGAAAAAATACTCAAAAATGTGATTGTAATTTAAAGAAAAGTATCTGATTTATTTGGTAGTTCAAGCAGAATCTATAGAAATCACATATTTTGTGGTTTTCTATTTTATAGTGCTTAAATACTTTTTTCTTTGTGGTACTTACTGGTTTTAAGTAAAAATCCTGAACTTCATTTTGCCTCTCAAAATGCTTCAACATTCATTAAAACATTACACCTAATAGAAATGAAAACTGCAAAGTGAAGAAAACAAAGCAGATACAGAAGATAATCATAAAAAGTCTTTCTGAGAAAGAAATTTTAGAATGGACATTGCAAGTGTTATATACCTTTAATGCATATATGTTAAGAGACTATGAAAGCTATTCTTTCTATTTATTAGTTTATTAAATAAAATGTGTTAACCCTCTCTAACTTGATAAATACAAACGATAGAGGTCTGTTAGGATGATTAATCTTTTCATTTCCATATTTAAAGTGAGAATTGGCATCTGACAAGTACAAACTTATTGTTTTCTTTCCATGTGTCTGTCATCTGTATTTTGTATTCTGGCTTGTTTGGATAAGAAGATCCTTCAAAACTGTGTGATTCACAGTGAACCCCCTGTTTACAATTTGTGTAACTTCCATTGGGGCAGCTCATCTTCCTGGTGGGTTATACATATTTCAGTTGTGAAACTGCGTGTACAGCTGTTTGGTAGGTTGTGTAGAGTTGGGAAAGCAAAATATTCACCAAATGACTAATGAAAAACTTTTTAATTGTTCTTCATATTTGACAAGGATTAGCCTTGTCCTATATGATTGCACAAGTGAGTTGCTATGATGATAAGCAATGTTTACTTTACTAAAGTGAGTGTTGACCAATTATACTGTAGCTTTACATTGCCGAGAATGGACTGAACTAATCAGCATTTAGAAACACAAAAGGTTCTGTATGCTGATCTGGAGCTTGGACTTGGGTATTGTATTTTGAACACAAAAGATGGAAATGTTAGAACATAAAAACCTAAGAAAGGGTACAAATGAGAAGGGAATATTCTGTCCGTCTTGCCTGGTTTGTTGGTGGTAGCTCAAAGTACCAAGAATTTGATACCCAACGACACAGTCTTAAGGTATATCACTGAATCAGCTTCACGTACGTGAGCTGGAAATTGGTTCTAGACTCCCACTGTCTGCTTGTCACGATCGTTACTCCTCCTCTTAAGTGCGCTCCAGCCCTTCCTCGTTCTGTCCCATTCCCCACACCTGTTTCTTATTCCAGCCCCTCTTTAGTTCCACCTTTAAAGCCAGATGCAGGCGATTTCTCGGGGCTTCTTATTGATTTCCGTGTTGTGAGAGCCCGGGGTCCTGCCGCGTCTGGCTCCGTTATAGTTTTAGTTTCCTGGTCCTGATTCCCTGCCCCGCCGGTCCCGACCCGGTTCTGGTTTTAACTACGGATGGATCCCCTGGTCTTGGACTAAACCTCCCGTCTTGGATTCCCCCTCTGGATTTACCCTTGGATTGTTCGCCCTGGATTCACTCCCCCCGGACACTAGCACTGCATGGACACGCCCCCCTGTCTCCTGACCGACTCCTGCATGATATTTTTCCCTATTGTTTCTTCACCTTTTGGATCGTGTCGCCCACATAGGGCCCGGAAAGAACTGTTCCTGACACTGCTTTCTGATCTTAAACATGGCTCTATTTTTTGGTTTTTAGTGGCCCTAAACATACAGTAATTTGCACTTTTCTTTGTGTTTCTGTTGAGCTTGAAGGAATCCCCTGAGCTGTCCATGTCCATGTCTTTAAGGATTTTTAAATCCCAAATCAAGTCTCCAAATGATTTCCTCTGTTCTTGGCTTAAATGATTCAGTTTCTACATCCAGAGTGAGATCTAAGTAATTTTGTCATTTTAGTACGGTTTCCTTTGATTTAAATTCAACACTCTTGACAATATGGCAAAGCATTTTGTTGTTGTTTTTTTACTGCTTCCCCATCCTGTCTGAAGAAAATAATGAAACTACATACGGTACATAAACTACTGTAGATTTTTCACATGTTTTACTTCTTTTAGTTCATTACTGGCTTGATGGATGAATTTTGTGTTCTGGTTTGTGCATGTATTACCTTGCACATCTCCAGATTAAAATTAATTTGCTAGGCATCTGCCGGTTTCTAAAATCAGATTGAATTGTTTTAGGTGCTGTTTAACTATTTGTACCACCACATATTTTTCTATCATTTGGGAACTTGACAGGTTTACTCACTGTACCTAGAGTCTAGATCAGTTATATAGATTATGGAGAGCATCAGTTCCAAAAAAATGTCCTCATGGTTCCCCACTAAAGATCTCATTTCAGTGTGAGTTAACACTCCTTAACAATACCCTTTGTTTTCTGCTTTTTAAAAGATATATTTTATCTAAGTGCAAACATTACCAAGAATTTAAGCTTTACGTTTGAGGATTAGTCTTTCATGTGGCACTTCATCACAATCTTTTTGAAAATTCAACTACTGTCTATTATGTCATATGCCCTGAAGCTATCTATTGAACTAGTTCCTTGCTCTAAGAAATCAGGTTGGCTAGTTATGCAGGATTTGCCACTTCTGAATCTATGCAATATCCTAGAAAGCAGTTTTCATAATGCTTCTGCCCTTGTGCTTATATTGTTTTTCATAACTTCAGATGTAATTAAGGAAAGACTGATTGGTCTGTAATTTCCTGTCTCTGTTGTGTCCCCTTCTTATGAGTAGGTGTTATATTTGCAGTTTTTCAGTGTGTAGGTACAGAACTTGCCCTGACAGTCATGTGAAACATCGCAAGTGGTTCGTGTAAAACATCCCCAATTTTTTTTCTTAAAACATGCTTTTCAACTGAATGAGAAAACTATATATGTCCAATTAATATTATAAACAGATATACTCTCCCCTTATGTTTTCATTATTGATGTCCTGAATATATATTCTGCAGTACAATTTAATATTGTAGTATGCATCTCTTTTTCCACTTCTTTGTATTTTAACCAATACAGTAACTGTATGACTTGAGACTTTGAGAGTGTATCTCTTCCCTGGTTGCTTTGCTTTGCTAATAAGCCTTCATGTAATTGCCAGGGTTAACAAGCAATAGTCTGTTACATTAAAAGCTAATGGAACCTGGTGCCATTTAAAGTATTAAAACATTTTAAAATGGGTCCAACAGCTCTGTTTGCTGATAAATTCATGTGATTATGTTTCACGTGTTGGTTTGCAACATACAAAAGATCAGGGAATACTTGTGTGTTTACTGTTCATGCATGACTTCCAGTTGTCTCAACAATCAGTTTACCCAAGTCTTGAGTCCTGGGTTCAAATCCAAACTCGGTTGTCTTTTTTGTGGATTATCCACCCCATGTCTGTGTGGCTTCTTGATAATTCATGTTGTCTTCTAATGCAGGCAGTAGTAGGACACAATCTGAAATGGAACAATTTTTTAATGATTATTTAATGCATCTAGTAAAAATCTAGTGCTCATGCTGCAGTGGCTTTTACTGGATTCTGCAATCTGTAGTGCTTAGTTTAGCATAGTTTACACGAAGAAGATGCCCATAAGCGTATGTTCAAAGACTGGCCTTCAAAATTTGTTATTATTGGAAATGTTTACAGATTGCCTGAGGGAATGACTAAAGCAAATGTAGTTCAGCATGCTAGAAAGTGAAAGTAAGAGGGCATAAAGGTGGATGTTAAACAGCAAACAGCAGTAGTAGTTTTGTGAGATGTTTCTTATTTTATATCATACACATACTAAAGTTGAAATGGAATATGGTAAAAATCTAAGGAACATATTTACACAAATACTTAATGCACTAGCATGCACTAACATGTGCACAATGCACACAAATGTTAATTGGCCAGCGTAGCTAATGTGAAGAAATGCATTTAAGACTGACAGTAGGCACTTCTTTACACAAATAGCTGTGGGGGTCTGAAACAAGCTAATCAGCCTTCATAATGAAGCAGGTATCATTACATGTTTTATGAGCCATCTGGATGACCTCTTCTGATCAAAAAGCAACTAAAAACCAAACAAATGCGCTGAAATTATTTAACAAACACTAGAACAGACAAAAACACAGTTCTTAGCACTCTCATCAACTCTTAGCACTCTTACCATTATTTTTATCTGTCTCATCAAAACAGATAAAAATACTCTCTATCACACACACATTTTAATACATCATTTTGTGGACTTAAAATATTTTGGTTAAAGATACCAATGTGACATCAGGAATAACCATTCATATATTTTCTCAGCTATGATTACACAGTTATAGTCTATTGTTTTTATTTCAACTAATAGCACCAAAGTTGGAACTGCAAGATTTGAATTGTAATTGTAACATGTAACAAGTAATTCACTTGATATTATACCGACTCAGGTGAAATGGGAAAAAGGGCACATTTAAAATGGGTTATTGGCTTTAAGGTGTTTAAGTTTAAGGAGGAAATGCTGCCTTTTACACCACAAAAATCCTCCACAGAAAGTCTGCCCTCTAAAACTGATTGCGAGAAGGTTCTCTCTAAACCAGAGAGTGCATCCGAGAGATACAGTTCAGCCTGATGGAGGCTAAAAGAAAAACAAATCTTCCATCACATATAAAAAAACTGCCCTTTCTCTGGAAATTTACTTCCAGTGTCTTCACTGCTCAAAAATGCTTTATAGGCTCCAGTCCTCATTGAAACAGGTGTGAAGTGCTGGTGCTTTATCGATGGGTATTTGGAATTTACAGTGTCAAGCTTGACAAGATGAGAGCAAACCCAACTGGTACATTAAGATGGCTTCACTTTTCTGGCCATTCACCTTTTCGCTTGATCTCAGGGGTTCTCCGACTTTCACAGATCTCAAGATGCAGTGGAACCACTCAGCGGGCGTGACCTGTGTTTAACACTTCTTTTCTCACGCGTAAACGTTTTTTTTTTGTTAGATGTCATGTCATTGTATTTCATTTTCAGATTATTTTGTTCTTTACACTAAGGATTGGGGAGTATGGAACAGGCTACCAACTGCAAAACTGACTAGAAGAGCCACACGCCCTTCTTTCGTTTATGATGTTTATGTTATTAGTATTTTCTCACCATTTTGTTTCTACAATCCATTAACATTTATTTTAGAATTCCACATAAAAAATGACATTTTCAGATGACGGATGAAAATGAAGGTTCAGATCTAGTGTGCAATGACATTTACTTTGCTCCATTATCATTTTCTTTCTGAGAAAAAATAACAGACACTAATGGGTTGATCGCCTTGAAAAGAAAAGTGCTTCATCTTTGTGCCCGCGGTGTGTTTAATAAATGGAGATGTTGAATGCCCTGTTAACCAAGAGCTCCTGGTAACATTAGCTAATAGTCTAAAAAGATACCTTGCCTTATCTATGAGAGGAGGGAAGCGGTCAATCTGCCACAAGCTTATGTATTTAAAAAACTATTAATAGTATCACTCTTCTTTCTTAAACTGGCTAATAATATAGTTTTAATCTAGTCTATATGAGCATTAAATTAAACACTGTTGCTTACTTCATCAGATCAACCCAGATTTCTGCAAAGTCTTTAGAGAACTGATTGTGATACTTTTCATTTCAGGAGAAGGAGCTCTGTCCTAACACTATTCAGTTAAAGGCAGCTCATGCTTCACAGTGCCACTGTAGAACTCCTCACTGAGATCCAACAACAGTGGTTTGCTTGGAAGCTCTGACTAGTCATTGTTGGTAATTCAGCAGTGATCATGGAGGCACAAGTCCTGAAGCTAAACATCTGTGTATTGCTGAACTTTTTTAATGAATTATGGTAACTGCAGCTATTTTGCTGAAGAAAAATATCAGGTAGCTTGTCTTGAAAAGAAAGGGGCTGTTTAGCTGGTTGTTTCTGGCTGTGAAATGTTTGGCCCAGTATCAAGTAATTAAGAAGTGATGTACCCTGTATGTAAAAGCATGAGCTGTATGTTTAATATCTCTGTATGAAACATCGGATATTTCCATTAAAAGTAGTAGAATTATAGTGAACAGCTTTATGGGGTTACATTCAATGGTACATAAGAGTAAAAAAGTGCTCCCCATTTTCAATTGCAAGTGAAAATATTGTATGCAGTGTATTAAACGTGTGCATATAGTAATTTTTCTTTATCATTATTTGTACCTATAATTTGTTATGATTACACTCACAAAAGTGTGCTGGTTGGTTCTCATTAATTTTCTTAATTTGTCTCTTAATTGCTTTTTAAACACAAAATCCTGCTGTCTTGTATCTTTGTTAATCTTTGTTGATGTCAGTAGCTGGATTATTCTAAAACATGAAGTAGTACCCTGGGGTGTTGTTAGAAGTTCTAAGGAAGTTCTGGTTAATCTGCATGTTGTGTGCTAATTTTACCAGAATCAGTTTGACTTTTAGGGAAGATAGACTAATTTATTTGCTGCTTAAAAACCATTTTCTCCTTTCGTTATAGCTTCAGTACAGAATCCACATGCAGTGCTATTTTGTTTACTTAGATAAGTGAGTTTTTTCACCTAATTTTGTAGGAGTCTGAAAAAGCTTACCTTGCTATGTTGTTAAACCTTACACCCTGGCTTCTTTCAAGATACAGCTGGATGAGATCCTTGGATTAATTAGCTACAATAAACTACACAAGTTTATTGGTCAAGTGACCATCTCTCATTTGTATCTTTTCATATTTTATGTTCTTTCCTAAAATGAGGATTGTTACCAATAATATGATTAGTGCTAACAGTCAGAGATATTGTTACACCTTTGGTACTTTTAAGGATCACTATTCCTAATTAGGACACTTTGTGCCACTTAAAGGAGTACATATTCTCTTAACCCTTCAAACAACACTGATAGGGTACCTGCAGAATGAATTATCACACAGAACCTCTACCCTTTTGCAACAATAAACTTTTATTTTAAAGGGAGCCTGTTTGCTTTTAATTGTAGCTGTACAATATTTTAGCATATTCTGGTTTCTCTTCATATCATCTAATTGGATTCTAACACTGGTAGTTAAATGCAAACTTTTCTTCAGTGCAGCTTATAGGGTTCACTGAAATTGTACCTAATGTTCTTCCAAACACTGGAATTATTTATCATTATTTCGTTATCTTAGAGTCCTTATTGACTTCACATATACTGTACCAGTTTTTATAGCATTGTTTTCAAACACCTGAATGAAAACCGGCTGTCTTTGACCACATTCTTTGCTTATTGTCATCATAGAGTTTATTAAAACTAGGACAGCTCCTTTGAAATCTCTGATAAATACTATTTTTTTAATAATATCTCACTGTTTTTTTTACTTTAAAACTTGCTCAGTGATAGACAGAAGTTGGAGTAAATGTATATTTTTGGAAAACAATGCATATAAAAACATTTGGAAGACAAGAGGCAATATTTTCTGAATGTATTTTTGATTTCGACTTGGAATAATTCAAAGACTGTATAACAAGAGAAACATTTGCACTCTTGAAAATGAAAAGCTAGTTGTGTTACTGGTTTAACTGAGTCATTCTGAGAAACTGGCTGCAAGATCATACTCATAATTTACCCAGCCTCATTCACCCACTGGGGAAAACCTGTGATGCATGCTGATTTACAGATTCACTTCTCCCTTTTTCTGGTTTCGCCCATAAAACCTCTACAGCATTCAGTAGATCTTCTCCATGTGGCCAAACCAAAGGATGTAGGGCAATAGAGTAATAGCCCAAATGATCAGGCATAGTTATTTCCCTATATCTGTACCTAATTGAATTAATGTATTAGGAAACCTCCGATCCACAAAATGTTTCATGAATGTTTTCTTTTGCATGCAGATGTACTGTATTATCTTATGTAACTGAACCAAATAACTCTGAAAAATTCTCCTGGCTCAGCTTCTTAAATGTTTCCAAAGAAAAGTCTCCGTAGGGTAATATTTGTGAAGTGAGGAACAAATTTGCATTTGACAAGTCATCTTTCTGTATTGCAAAAATCAACATCGTGTTTTGTCAGCATGTTTTTTTATCTGTGATAGTAGAGAAATGGTATTTCCTTCTTCAGTTTCAGAGTCTAAATGTTCAGGTCCATTAATATTTCATCTCACTGCAAAATTTCTGCATTAAATGTTTATAGTGATTTTACAACACAGTACTAAAATCTTAATTGGTATATTACTTTAAGTTGCTTCAAATGAAGAATAGCACTGGCACACTTGTTCTCCAACACATCTCTTGCTAAAAATAACAAATAATGTCTATTAAACTATACGGTTTGACAGTAATAACTCTTTTCTTTTTATTGAAGGCTTATTCATCTTAGCAAGCAACTGTGAAGAAATTAATTTAAGACAGGCTGCCAACACTTTTTTTCTGAAACTGTCAACATCTCTGGAGTTGTAGAAATAAGTATTTACATATTGTGCCTAATTCACAAAAATGTTAACCACCTTGTGCTAGGATGAGTGATTGTTTAATGTGATTGTTCAATGAGTAAGTTACATGCATTGTCATTACAGTACAGTTTTTAAAATAACATTTATTGCTAAACATTGTTAGTCGGTATCATTGTTGAGATGAAGGGTTATGACTGAGACTATGACTTCAGTTGTTATTTCCTACATTTATTTTCTTGAATTATAAACCACTTCTGCCTCTGTTTGTTTTTTAATTTACTGTAATGCACAGATAATAGATCAAATATAACATAGCCACTATCAATTGTAATTCATAAACAGTAATTTAGTTAAATGATGAAGAATGTTGATGTTATTACAAATATTAAATATTTACAATTTAATGTAAAGAATTGACAGATTTTGACAGGAATTGACAGGAATCAGATTGCGCATTTGACTGGAATTTGTATGTGTTAAACAAGATTCAGCATTTCTCATAATACTTCTTAATTATGATATTCAGTACTAATAGTTTTCTCAGTAATTGAAAGTAATAGGAAAAGTAACAGAATATTTTTGAGATCTTGGCTACAGATCTTTGGGGTGACCCAGCAATTGAAATTCTTGACTGTGTTTCTTATTGTAGTTGCTTTAATGTATTTTAATGTGTTACAGATGGAGATTCGTTGGGAGAGGATATTGATTTTAACTGGGAAGAATACTTAGAAGAAACAGGTGCCAGTGCTGCTCCTCATACAGCATTTAAACATGTGAGTCTGGGATCAACCAATCAGTAACATGCATGTCTGAAAGTGCTTTTTTTTATTATGACCTTGACAGTAAGGGTCATAAGGACTACTGTGTTTGCATGCATTTTTGTCTGTCATTGATATTTACTCTGCACGATTCTAGAGTCTGTAGTGGCACAGGTGGATTTACTGTTTACTGTTAAATTTTAAGTTACCAGCTTTTATTGGACATGCACTAATACTCTCATTTTACACATCATATACCGCTAATAACATTGTGCCCAACGGACGAGTTAATTTTATTCTTTGAACATTAACCTCCTTAAATGACCAAGGAATTTGGTTGTAGCCTGCCCATTGGGACATAAAGTATTTGTGTAAGTATACAAATATAAATAATGTATATATTATATAAACCTTACAGCTGTACGTTGTCCTTTTAAAGATAGAAATGTGAAAAACATGTGTCCACGTGTGAGCTATTCCCCACTCACAAACCTGGTTCCTCAGGGAGGTTTTACAACATGGTGTTCTTTGACCTGACTAAGGCTGGAGTAGTGGAGGTGAGGTTGCTGAGGAGCAGTTCAACAAGAGTGGAAATGTTGTTCCACCACAAATCGGGGGATCTCCTCCTGACTAAACTGTAACTCATCAGCAATGTTGCCTGTCAGCCTGGAGCTACAGTATATGACCCTGCAACTCACAACTGGCAACCCACTGAAGCTCAGCAGGTGTGAGCCTGGTCAGTACCTGGATGGGAGACCTCCTGGGAAAAGCTAAGGTTGCTGCTGGAAGAGGGTGATTGTGGGGCCAGTAAGGAGCGCTCACTCTGCAGTCTGTGTGGGTCCTAATGCCCCAGTAAAGTGATGGAGGCTCTATACTGTATAAAGCCTCCATCCTTCCAATGAGACATAAAACTGAGGTCCTGGTCATTCAAAATCAGATTTCCTCCTGGCCTTTATCAGTCATGCCCTCCTTATTCTCCCCATCTTTGAAATGGCTTCATTATTATGCTCTCCTCCCCACTGATAGCTGGTGTGTTGTGAGTGTACTGGTGCACTTTGGCTGCCATTGCATCATCCAGGTGGATGCTGCAATTGGTGGTGGTGGAGAGAAGTCCCCATTACCTGTAGAGCACTTTGAATGGAGTGTCCAAAAAAAAAAGCTACGCGTATTACTATTATATTGGGAACAAGTGATTCTATTTAAAAAAATTGTTTTCTCCTGTTTATTTACTGATTGAATAATTTTAGGTGGAAATCAGCCTCCAGAGCAGCTTCCAGCCAGGAATGAAACTGGAAGTGGCTAACAAGAGCAACCCAGATACCTACTGGGTGGCCACCATCATCACCACCTGTGGACAGCTGCTGTTGCTACGGTTCAGTGGCTACGGAGACGACCGCAAGGCAGACTTCTGGGTCGATGTCATGACGGCGAATCTGCACCCGGTGGGCTGGTGTACTCAGAACAACAAGGTGTTAATGCCACCCGAAGGTAAGGATGTAGGAGAAAACATTCCGTATCCACAGATTAATTTAGTTACAGCTCCCAGCAGCACTTACGTTTAACCACTGCTTTTAATTTGCCGAACCGACAGCAATTAAACAAAATGCCAAATTTATTGATTTAGATTTTTAACTGTACAGTAATTATGGACAGTGCTGCTCATCATGTCATAAAAGTGCAATCTCAGTCAATGCGCTGTGCATTTTCTTCTCCTTTTATCTTCATGGGATCCCACAGAAACCCTTCTGTAGGTCACACCTTTCTATAAATCCATACGTTTTAAACTTTGCAAGTTGTTTTTTGATGGTATCCAAACACAGATGGCTTAAGTTAGGAATTCTGTGATGTTCTAGAATCTGTTTTGTAGTCACATTGATGGGTGATCCATACTGTAGGTACATTTTGCAGAGAAAGTGAAAGCAAGTGCTGACAGTCCCATGGGATGACATCAGCAGTATCTGGTTAAATCAGACAAAAACTCACTGGAGTGACTAGTGCTTAAAAAAACAGATGGTTATTGATGAGAAATGAAACTTTGTTGCTGTTTTTTTGCTTTCCCTACATTATTCTCTATGACAACTCCACTTGTATACACAGTGCTGAAAGAATATTATAGTCTGCTCACTCTGAGGTTGTTGATATTTGGGGACAGACACCCTTGAATAACATAAAGTGCAAGTTCTAAACCTGAACATTTTACAACATTAATAGCCAGTTAAAACTGTTTTCAGATATGATCATAATTAGTTTAGGTTTCATCTTTTAAAAACATGAAATGAAATACATTTTTTCTCCCATGGAATCTCTCTGGGTCTTTTTGCACTTGTTGAATCAAACCATGATCAAGTAATATTTTATCGATTAAGCAATTGAAGAGACAACTGACAATGACAGGGATTGGGAATATCTTTGACTAAATGTGACCAAAAAAACTGTACTGTCAATAGACTGACATGCAAAGTGCATTAATAAAATTCTTATTGTGCTGTTTTTAGTTTTTATGTGAAAGGAAATGATAATGTGACATTTGGACAGAATATAATTAAGATTTGCAATCAAGAGCCTTTGCATCTTCCATGATGTTTAAAATGGTATGGCCTATTATATCAGGATTACACTGTGTTTCATCACTACCTTGTAATTGAATATTACAGGGGATCAACATCTCATCTTGGATTTCCAGTCTTTTGTATTTTGTTAGAGATAGTTTGGAATCTATCTTTAGATGTCCATTTGCATGTATTTTAGTACGCACTATGCAAAGAGGTAAGGATAATGGTAGAAATTGATAATTATATTTTTCTGTTATTATTTTATTCCAGTGTAAGTGCAGAAATGTAGATTTGGTTGTGAAATTGTGTGCTCATCGTTGTTCTTCTAATCACTACTGTAAAATAATACCAGCTTCAGAATAGGTGTGATGAAAGAGAAGGCAACAAAACCCCAAATAATAATATTTTAAAATAAATAACCATCCAAGCTCGCATTATTACAGTTGTCTTTTTTATTTCTTTTTGTTTCTCAGACAACTGTTACCTGAGAAAAGGTAAGCAGTATTACCAGTATATTAGCTTTTCCTGACTGCTTATTTTATATCTGCTGTGTTAAATGAGTAGAGCGCATGATGGTCTTTCTTTGCATTTAAAATAGGTGGTTTCTGCCACCTATATTTTTGGTTTAATTTTCCTGCCTTCCTGTTGCATGTCTTACTACATGTGTCCTGCAAGAATATCTTTTTTTCTTCTTTGGTTTTGACAGTTCGCTCACTTCTGCTGCAAAACTTGCTTCTAAACAAGGGAAATAGTACAAAAAAAAAAGTTAGTATTTCAGAATGGCCTGAATCCTGCCCTGTACTAGCAGAATTCCCTAAGTTATTCACAATCTGCATGAAGAATATTTTCAGAAGCTACTTTTGCAAGGTTATTTAGAATTTTAATGCACAATCTACTGTACATTGGAATGACAATTCACAAAGAGGGTAAATCATTTTTCAGGATAGAAACAAGTAAAACAATTACAAACAAAAATATTAATTATGCTGCACATTTACAAAATTAGAGACTTTACATAAAGCAAAGAAAGCTTCTGCTGATTTCACTACATATGTTCCCTACAAAAGGCAAATTGTTTAGAATAGTAGGAAAAAATCTCACTTCTTACTTTGTATTACAGTTGCACAGGAGGTGTATTTTCATCATGAACACAGATAAAAAATGAGATGCTAAGAACACAGTTATTTTTGCTCTTCCTTCAGATTCTGTCATTCATTAATGTTTTTCTTGTTTAATTATCAATTGTTATTTTGCTGTTTAATGCAAGCTTGGAGGGTCAGGCACAGTTTCGTATGCACATAATGTAGCAGTATAATACTAGGTTTTCTGTGAATTAAAAAAACATTTTAAAATACTGGTCTTTATGTGTATTACTGGATGACTCAAAATGAGGATAAAAACATTTGTTTTTTTCGTTTCTGCATTTAAAGAACATTACTGTAATAATTGCAAGCCTGACTAAGCACAGTATTTTTTTTTAAACTGGAACCGTGTATTTAAATCCATAACACTTCTGTTCGCTGAGTAAGAGTTTATGATTTTCATAAATTCATTTGCATTCTTTTTTAAGACAGTGCGCATCTTGAAAACATAGGCCTTATTACAGCATATGTCAGGAGAATAGGTGGTAAGGGGAAAAAATATTTTATGGTAAAAAAGTCCAATTAGATTTGTGTTGCTGATGATTTTAGTGAGAATTAAGGAGAGCTCAAGGGATGTGGTTTTCTGAAAGTGGATAGCAACTTAAACGTTTCTGACAGGTTCCATATGCTGAATAAGCTTTATTGTTCTCACACTTTAAATCACATCTATTTATTAGGAAATGAAGATTTACATAGTGCTTAGTGTAGGATTGCGTTGTGCTTGCTCCTTGAACTCACAACTGCATGCACCCCTTCCCTGCTGTAGTATTTACACCCAGGCTTTTTGTGCACCACTCAGAACACAGCGCACTAACTTCTCCTGCCTGCTTCTAATGCCACAGCTTCTGGAATCTCGGCATAGATGTCTGCTTTTTGGCTCTTTAGCTTTGTAAACTCAGCCGTCAAAGCAAACACAGGGGATAAACCTTGGTTCAGAAAGTTCAAGTGTCTGGCAGCTTTGTGCTGGTGATATTGTTTGCTGTTAGCATGTGTGGATAAATTACAACCCAGTGGTCATGACAATGTTTCTTATTGATTTTAAAGCAGCTTTTGAAAAGCTATTTGTCAGTGATATCAGTGTTTTTCTATGGAAAACATCAGTGTGTTTATTTAAAAACTGTATTGTACTGACCTATATAGGACCCATGTACTGTAGTATCATCAATCTTGTTACTTTAAGTCCATCTAACTGATCAGTGAAGGCTTGCTTACAGTACATATCAAAAAGGATATAGGAAACAATCTCTTATTGTTATGAAATGACAGCAGTGTAAATCATGTCTGTGTGATTTTAAACACTCTAAATCTGTCCTTAAAATATCCTTATATTGTGTATACTTCTTTGATGTTTTTGAAGCTTAATTTTTTGTTGAACGGATTTCAGTGTCAGTGATGTAATTTTGCACTGGAAACAGATCATAACAAATAAGGGAAAGATTATGTGGTCTGTCCTCTTCCAAAGAAAAATGATTAGGTGTGAAGTTTCATTTTCTCTCTTATTAAGTGAAAAAAATATGCCAAGAATTTACGTTAAGTAGCATTGCATTATCTGATGTGCATGATTTGATAAACGCTTGGAAACTTATTTTGTTATCTGGGACTGATATGATTACTTTTCACGCAGTTTCTTTTGAAACCACCAACTCCTGCTGATACAGTACTTTGTCAGAGAGAGAGTGGTCCTTGTGGCCCCCCCCAAAGAAACCCACACTTCTTGTTGGTACTTCACAGGGATTTGTTTATCATCCTTTGCAGACCCCTGGCCAGATTGGTGTGGTGTAGCACAAATCTAAATTCAGGTTGTGAGGATCAACCTGCAGATCAGAATAATGGTGTTTATCAGATGAACCTAAGTGAAAAACTACATTAACCATGCCTCTAGTCTCCAAGTAAGGGTGACCTCTTTAAAGACAGGTGTGTCCGAAAGCAATTGTCTGTTTTTTCCAATGCTTTTTAAAAATATGTGCTGTTTATTTAATTACCCTAAAAAGTGTCTTTTTTGTTCATTTGTCTTGTGTGTTTGTCAAGTTCTGATTTCCGTTTATGTGCAACATTCGTGTCTTCTGTGAGTCTTTTCAACTTTTTCTGATTTGACCTGTCTGACTTGTTTTCTCTACTCTTAATTCCTTCTAGTGTTTGGTTCTCCTTCTTGCCTTTTATCCTTGTTAAGCCATGTTTGGATTTGTATTATGATCACACTACTTTGTAACATGGGGTCAGACAGAAGCTGTCACTTTGACAACGGAGAAGTAGAAATTTATGCCCTCACATCTTACAGTGAAATGGGTAGCACAACTGTTACAGGGATTTTTCTTCCTATGCTCTGTAACTCATTATAGTAAATCAACCTGTATTCTCCTGGATTTTCTGCATAAAATAATTTACAAGGAATGGAATAATAATAAGCTTACGTTTACAGAATTTTTTAGAATAATATTTGAACTCAAAGGATTATGAGAGCTTTTTTAACTCCTTTAAAACAGAAAACCTCTAACCTTTTTTCAGTCTTTTGTAGACTTATTATGGTAATACATAATTGAATGTAGTGATTCTTAGGTGTGACGTTAACGTGATGCTACTTTCTCATACCTCTGAACCTCTGCTACACTGAAGCCTTTGGTGCATGAAGATGAGGTTGTGAGGTCTTTGGTTAGATTTTCGGTGTCTGAAATACATGGTTAGATAATGGGTTCTAATTAGTCAAACCATATATGTGGACTGGAGACCATCAACATGCTGAAGTTGCTGCTTGTACATTTCAAATTTTCAGAGTTTCAGAAATGGATTTGTTTGTGTTAACTTTTTTAGACAGTGCACTAAGTTCATGTGTTCCGGTGTTCCGGACCACAAATAATATTTTAAAATACAACACTTAATAAAGGCAGTTTATTCTTGTAAGCATAGATTTATTTTACTGTAACTGTAAAGTATTGTGAATCATATTGTCCTTTAAAGTTTAAAATCATAATATTCTCAAAGAGTCTGATATGGAATGAAAATAAAGTGTGAAAATATTTGCATGTTGTACAGAGGTGCACCTGTTCCAGTGAAAGGAAGAAAATGTTTACAGTTAAAGTGCTCGTAAAGAGTAATTGAAAACGGGCACCAGAAGCTGTTTTTGACTTGTGTACAAAGTGTACAAAAAGTGGGATGCAGTAAAGAAATTACAGTGGCAGACAGTTTTGGTTTTTGCATCAAATTGCTAATTGAATCAAGCAATTTAAATTAATGTAAAATATCTTCAGTAAACAGCTTATAGGATGAGTTAAAAATTACTAAAATGTTGTCATCTGTTAATGGGGGAGAAAATTATTGTTAATATATTTTCTGTAAAAAAAATAAATTAAATATCTGATCTGGCAAAGGTGCTTGCTTTAATTTAATTCTTTGAATAACTGGATAATGTAATTGCAATATGATAAAAAATGTCATTGCATTTATTAGAGGCGAATTTGGCTTATTGACACCAAGCAGAAATCACCTGATCCTTGATGTTTTTCAGTATATCTGTCTTAATTTAATGGGTTTTAATATATTAAGACATCGTTATAATGATTATAGCTATATATTGTATTGCTTAGTAGAAAAACATGTACATCTCTTCTACACTCTTGTATGTGTAAGCTACTCAAGTCCCATTGAGATGGTGAGTCATAAATGGATTTGAGATGGCATCACTAGCATTTCAGAAAACAAACAGCAGTCTGTGCCGTATGACACTGCTATACATATCCCCTGTTCAGATATAAAACGTGGACAAACATTCACATTAGAATTTGATGGGCAGAGAAATTCTAAGAAACTATCTGATGTTTTTTCTATGAATGCTTAGTAGACAGTTTTTTTCCCTTGCTGATTGTACTCCTTAAATTAGAAAAATAAATTGGAATATTCCATTTAGAGCAGAAAGTAAAATATGTGAATGGTACATTTTTCATTTTTCTGTTAAAGTTTATGTGCACTTTTTTGAAGGAATGTATTATTGGGTATGATTTTGCTGTTACAGTGTTTTCAGTACTGGAGAGGAAGATTTTTAACTATAATAAAAGGATAACATGTACTTTGCTTGTTGTTAGTTAAGCTTTATGTGTAACATTCTATTAGAAAATATTCAACTTTGTTCAAATAGTTAAATTTCTCCATGTAGCCAAAGCTAATTTGCTTTTCATCTTTGATTTAAAAAGTTTAATGTACTCTGGCAGTCGAAACTTTGGTGGCACTCGTAAATCTTACTGAAATCCTTCTTAGAAAGAATAACTATTATTAAAATTACTGACTCGTGAAAAAGTTTATTTTCCTTTGAAAAGCAAATACTGTACACCAATGGATATGCTTAACTTTAATGTTACCTC